ACGCCACACAACAACTACCCTTCTAAGCAGATCGACTGTGTTTTGCACTCTACACATCGACAACCGCACCACCTCACCGCTCCCATATCCTATTTACGTATGCCCGCCCTTCTACGAGTTTCAAGGTTAACTTTACACTATTTAATTTACAACCCCCATATATATACACACACAGTAGAAAGTCTGATATCCAAAATCGTAGGGACTTCGGCAATTCAAGATTTTTGGATTTTAGATTATCAGTTTCAGTTAGTGAGATGGCATGTAGTCATCGCAATATTAGAACTATTCAGGTCATTTAAAAAAAAGCTAACTCTCTTCCCCAAAAAGGCCAAAGCTGGTGTAACTAGTGTGGCTGCAACCAGGGCTGTGGAGTCAGTAGGGAAAATGACCGACTCCGACTAAGATTCCCGGAATTTTAAAGACTTCGATTCTGACTCGAACTCCCTCATATATATATACAAACATATACGCATGGATTACAGCTTATTTTTTTAATATAAAAGAAGTAATAGATGCTACAGAAAAAAAAAAAAAAATTGATGGCATAGCAAATTATTTATGTTAACATTTATTATGAAATGGGAAAACTAGCGTTAGTTATTTCTAAGAAACAGTATAACTTCGGCAAGATCTTCTTTATTGGAGGGACATAAATCCGATTTGATGAACTTCAGAGCTGAGAAGAGTCTTTCCATACTAACTTGGGTAGGAGGAAGAGCTGTTACTGTTAAGCTACTTCTTTTAACTTTTCAGGATAGATTTTTTATAAGTTCTAAAACAGGTGTCTTGCAAGAGTAATTCTATTTCTCTATTTCTTCAAAGGCCATGTAGAAACCTTGTTTGTATTTTTTCATTTTTATATCTAAAGGCTCCTGCTTCTTTATTTTATTCGCTTTGCCTTCGCAATATTATCCAAAAATATTTCTAAAAATCTAATTCATTGCTGGAAGTGTATGATAGACTCAGTTGCAATGTCTGCAGTTTGACTGTCCTAATTCGAATTCTCCAATTGTTCCAAGAATAATTTCATTCTTAATGAAAGTTCATAGATGGCTTTCTTTGTGGTTTTAATTTGTTTGTCGTCTAAAATTTGGTATTTCGCATCTACATATATTGAAGCCAGCAAAGATCTATTGTCTCATTTCTTCATTGAAGAAATAATTCCTTCTGAAATAAGCCCTCCATTTCAGAAAGAACAAACATCACATTCTTCCATTCTCGCCTCCTGTCAATTCTTCAGCTTTTTCATGGCTATATACGGTGTAGAAAGAAGAGTTTCCAATTCCGCAAGATCATCCCATAGTATTTCTGTTAGTGAAACATCAGGGTTATCTATACCTTCTAAAAACATTTTTAATTCTAACAACCTCTTTATCATTAAATATGTACTTCCTTATCGCATTGCTTGATCAATAATTGCTCCTTTTCTGCTCGCTTTCTAAGAATGGCAGCAATTTTGGGAGTTCTTGCTGCTATTGCTACTTACCTAAGTTTACCAGTGAGATTTATAACTAAATGAATCAGTTTAATCACTAATGGCAAATATCACATTCCTCCTCCCTTCGCATTATTATGTCTGTTCTGTTTATGTTATTATGTCCCTTCCTGTTATATTTATTTATTAATATGTCAATAAAATAGAAAATAATTATTTATTAATGTATATAGTCCCTAAAAATAATAACTCAGCTTGTCATTAATTTTTTAATTCATTTTAATTTCATTTCAAATTCAAACTTTCTAATAAAAACTGGAGTCGGAGTCGACCTGTTTTTAGCAACTCCAGCTCCGACTTCTTTCATCTCAAAATCTGCCCGAATCCAATTCCGACTCCACAGCCCTGGCTGCAACTGATGAAAAAATTTTAGAATTTAGAACAGCACCAAGCAGGAAAAATTAAAGCTGGCTGAATTTTTTTTATTTAGGAAAGGCACTGGGCAGTTGAATTTAGAAGAAGTAAAACTTCCTGAATTTAGGAAGCATACAATCCAGCAGAATTTAGGATCCAGGTGGAAAAATGATCGAGCTCCCCCCTCCCAACCACTCTTGCGCTTAAAGTGTGATCATCAATACATCAGAGAGTGCACTGTTACAGCTATGCTGCGACTCCTTACTCAGCAGATGTTTAAATGTGACATGTGGAAGTCTCAGTTAGTCCTGAGAAGTATTGAATTAAAGGTAAACCTACCTCCTTTTGTTATAGTATCCATACTTAAGATTTAAAAAAGCAAAATTTTTATCATTTTATTTACTTTTTGTTTCATGGTTCGGAGGTCCGAATATTAGATCATACCAGATATTGGATATCCAGATTTCATACAGGCTGTCCAGAATTGTTTCCAATTACAAATACTCACAAAGTATAAAATATGATACATAGAGTAATACTTTTTATGTTAAACTGCATGCAACATATTCAAGCTTTGGTATACATATTTCATTTATTAGATTACAGTGGTTGTTATGACTTTGCTGCTGTCGCGCTGTCCGAGACCATGAAAGATGTTGACTACCTGAAACATCATTTTCACTGATGAGGCCACATTTCATTTGAATAGTAGTGTCAACTGACACAAAGCTAGATTCTGGGGGTACAAGAATCCTAACACTTGTGTTTCAGACCTTCAGAGACAGCCTTAAGATGAATGTGTGGTTCATGCACAATAAAAATCACAGAACCGTTTTTCTTCAGTGAAAAAAAGATCACAATTAATACCTATCTTGATATGTTACAGTTATTTGTTCTGTTCAGAACATTCTGGACTTAATTTTCCAACAAGATGGATCAACTACGTCATCTCATTGGGGATTAGATGCTCATGCCTATCTGGATACAACATTTCTGGAAAGATGGATCATGTGTGTTGGTCTCATAAACTGGCCTTCATGACCAACACTGGATTTCTTCCTTTGGGGTTATGTCAAGGACAGGGTTCAGTAGATACCGGTGTATGACATCACTACATTAAGGTGCGAAATTACTGGAGTCATAACATCCATTCCTGATGTAATGTTGACCAAAAATCGTCTGGATATCCTTCAGGCAATGAAAGAATCACATATAGAAATTTATTAATTGTGTACACAAAACTTGAATATGTTACATGCAATTCAAGATAAAATGTGAGTGTATATATGTCATATTTTATGCTTTATGAATATTTGTAAACAGGGAAAGAATGCTGAGTTCCTATACTTTGTATTACACATACACGTAATAGCCCATGAAGTACGCAAAATGCACTTTTATCACAACACATGTATGCACATAGCGTCTCAACAAACAGCGTGTCACTTTTCTAGACATTTTCAGGAGTTTAACTGCAGATTGTAGTTCTTCCGGTTAATCTTTGAATTATGGTAACTTGGCGATTTTTTGGCGACCAACCCTGCTACAGCAACCTGCTAGTTTTTGTTTGGACGCTATTTTGGTTTCACGGAGTAAAGGCATTTTTTTTTTTTAAACTCAAAATTTTTTTCCAACAATCTGCTAGCCGAATTATGCTTATGCTAGAACTTTTATGGAACAAAAGTGTTTAATCATGGCAAATATTAGGTGCGAAATTGGGAGAAAGTGCATAATCGCAAACTGCTTGCCACGTTTTTAAGAATTGCACATACACGGTATCATCCACGTACACGTCGACCTATTTTCACTTAAAAAAAAAATCCCAGAATTGCACAAAAATGGCATTGTGCACACTCTTGACTTTATCTATGTACACTGCTAAAGTCCTAGCTAGTAACCTTTATTGCTTTACCAAAATGTCGCCAAACTACCTGTTACCATATTCCAAAGATTAGCCGTTCTTCCTACAAGAATTTCGTTTAGCACAGCAGTGGATGAATACTGCAGTTTTTGTTGTTCTCAAGAAAACCTTGGGACTTAATTTTCTGCACTAGCTGGCCATAATGTAGCTTTTTAACGGTATTATAAACCCTTTTTGACTTTAGTGCCAAGGTTATGCACAATGCTGAAGTTGCAAACAATGCCAAGTTTGTGTAATTCTGTTTTTGTTTGTTTTTTAGGTGAAAAACCAATTGTTGTGTAATGGGAAGAACAGAGCACCAAATATCGAGAACTGTATGTACATTATAAGGAAAAAGAACAACAAAAAAAAAAAAAAGTAAACACTGGTTGCATTGTTTGAAAGTTGCTTATGCAAACGTTTCTCTCCAAAGTCGGCAAAAAATTCGCAAATGCTATCCGAAGTCACCATTGACTTTACAACTTTTCGATAGGAATACAGATAATCAGAATGTAAATTTAATTACAAAGATTAAATTTTGCATTCTCTGAATATTTATTGCGCAACACCTAATTGGCACATTTCCTATGAAACTTCATTACGTTCCACCTTATACATGTTGAAATATACATGACTCCCTTTAACTGTCCTTTAATTTTGCAGACAAGCGTAGTTTTTCAAACTTCCTTAATTGTAATTTCGGGGAAAGTGCACAATCGCCCACTGCTTGGCGGGTTTTTAAGGATTGCATATACTCAGTATCCATGTACACATCGACCTATTTTCACTTAAAAACATCCCAGAATTGCACAAAAATGGCATTGTGCACTCCCTTGACTTTATCCATGCACACATCGACCTATTTTCACTTAAAAAGTCAAAGAAAATTGGCAAAAATCCAATTCTTCTTACTCTTGTAAAAAGCGCCCAACAAATAAGTGGGCGATTCTGCACTTTAGCCGTAATTTCTTCAATTAAAAAAATGAAAACTTCTGTAATGGACTTCATAAAATTATAGAAGTATGCCTTTATTTTTAGAAAAATTTCAAAAGAACAAAAAATTCCAACACAAAAAAATCACCCAGTGTTACAACGCCAATGAATATTTCATACACTACACAATTTTAGCAGCATGAAAGTGATGATGCATAATGATGATATATAAAAGAAATTGAAAATAAATGAGGGATGATAAAAATGTGAGTGAGTGAATAATCAAGAATAATTGTTTTTTGAAATATTACTTACTTTCATATGTTGTGCCATCTGACATCCTTACAATTTATGATTTAAGTCACTAAACATCAAATCAAAGTTGATGAGACACCCTTAAGGCAGATAGCCCTCGAGTGCTTTGCCGTAATCTAATAAACCAAATCAAAGTTGATGAGAAGTAACATAAGTAAAACCGACGTTTAAGACTTCTACTGGAAGGAATTTTAAAAAATATCCATTTTACTTTATATGCAGTAATAACACAGAAACTATTCAATTCCAGATATGGATCATAAGATAAAACATAAATGCTGCTATCCAGTTAAACATAAGGTACAAGCCATCGTATTTTTCTTCATTTTAATTAATAAACAGTGCAAGTCATTAATCTCACTTTTAAAAATCTAATAAATTGCTGTGAATGCAGCTAGGTTTGTAAGCAGCAGTTTCGAATATAAATGCTTAAAGAATTTTTAAGTTAAATGCTAAACACGTGCAGTTACCACATATCTCTTCAAACGAAAAAAAATTACTATGATATCTGATCTGCTATGTGATTAGCAAACATGTCACTGAATTTCGCGAAGACCTCAAAAACCGCATGCTGTTCAAAGTGTCTGTTGAAATGTAAGCCTCGATTAAGCTATAAATGCCGTACAATAGACCATTTGGCTTTGATATTCAGCCCAAAACCACCATTAAAGAGTTAATGCAAGTTCAAGGTTAACATTTTTATCAAGATATAACACTTCATCGCCATTCTTGTGACGCCGCAAGTAACATCATGCGTACATTCGTAAACATCACAGATTTCGCGGAGAAATTACATCTTGGGTTTCAAAAATGTACGTTGATTATTTGTTAAATATAATTTGATGGTGAAAATTCACAATTTGTGGTAAAATAGTCAAAACATAAAATGAAAGATTGTCTTTATTTCTTAATTTTGTAAAACATGATAAAAAAATAAGTAAATTGCATACAATAATAAGATTTCCAATTTGTAATCCTAATTAAAAAATACACAAAAACTGCTGTAATAATATGCTGAATAATTTGAATTTACGACAAAGAACCAACATTTTAAGAAATTGTCTTAAACATGTGCTTTTTTTTTCCTTACTCATCGACTCTTTTTGAAAAACTATATTGACACCTATTTGAGCTTTGCTGAGAATGTGTGTGGACAGGAGAGTAGGCTTTCTGATTCTAAACTAATAGAATAATAATAATTATAATAATTATAATAATAATAATAATTAAGATAATTTGTCTCTCTTCTTCTAAGTACTAAATTATATCCAGTTCACCTAGGGCAGTGTATCCAAGACTCATCTTTAATTTCCGTACGTTTTAATTTTTGTAAGATGGCAACAAAAAAAGACTGTTCGAAAAATAAACATTCATTGGAACCAAGGAGGTTACCTCCTTGATTGGAGCCAAGGTCCGTAGAAAGAAAAGGTTAGCTCACTTGGGGTAAACAGACGAAAATGCGTTCTCGCCGTCTATTTGGCTGTGACGTCACTGAAGTTCTCTCCCCTCAGATCAACAGAGATTTTCGCATTAAGCTGAACGTAAGCTTATGAGCGACTGTGAAAACTCATTAGTTCTTTTTTTTTTTTTTTTTTTTCGCTCTCAAATATAATTAAATTTATATAGTATAATGGTTGGTACACACTGCGCGATTGCATTATGCACCAATAATGCAGGCAAAATAAAAAATAATCAGCAAAATGTATCATTTCATAGGTATAGAAACTTATAGTGTGTTTTGATTTGATTTAATGTTTAAATAGTGGTGATATAAGCTCATTTTGAATTTTCGGGTTACTTAAATTAATTGATTCATTAATACAGTCAAAAGTCGTTAATTCGGACACCCATAATCCGGAATGATCTATAATCCGGACCTCAAAGCTAAAATCTTTCTGCGCATGCGCCGCATTGACGCATGCGCATAGGCGTTTTACTCGTGTGCCCAAGACATTTACGACTGCGCATATGCGTCTGCGCAAGCGCAGAATACGTTTTCGAGGTGCGCGTTTAATGTATAGCGGACGGTATAAGCTAACATTATCTAATTATCTATTTCAGTTAATGTTGATGATTGCGTCGTTCCTTAATCTTCGAATTGGATCCGGCTTATTATTTTTTGCAGACTGTAAGAGCAATTTTTATAAAAAGTAAGCTTGAACTTTCGTTTATGTCAAATGCTGGAGCTCCCAAAGGATCTAGAAAACGAAAGTATGTTTCGATGTCCATCAAACAAAAAACGAATTGCTACAAAAAATGGATAAAGGTATATCCTTTGTTTATCTAACCGTTCCGAAATCTGTTTATCAATTTCACACTGCTCTACGCGGGGCGGACGTCGCGGCGCGAAATGAACTGGAAGTTGATCTGTCAGCACTATCGTTATCTTCAGGGCAGATGTTTTTATTTTATTCGGCTTATAATTCCTTACTAAATGTAGTATTTAATATCGATGTACTCCGTCTATATGATTTAAATCAAATTCCTCGTCATTATAAATATCACGAATACAAATCAAATAGTTTTCTGGTTGCAATTTTCTAATTTCGGCTATGCGTAAGGTATGCTTTACGCATGCGCGCGTTGAAAGAAATGTTTAATAAAGTAAACAAATATTAAGCTTTCTTTTTTGTAAATTTTGATACCCTTTAGATCATAATTGCTCATTATTTTATAAATTACGGTTTCATATTTTTAATTTTATAATTTCTGCATGCCATCTTACCAGATTTAAACTGATGATCTATAATCCGGAAAAATCGATAATCCGGAATCGCCGAAGTCCCGACGAGTCCGGATTAAAGACTTTTGACTGTATATGTAGAACTTCTATGCATTGTATTAGGTATATTTAAATGCCAACGGTCTTCAATATTGTTGTGAATTGTGACAAATGCATATAAATATAAAGCATTACTTATCAAGTAACAACATTTTTACTACTGAAGCAACTCCCAGCTATGGCTGCATAATGTTGAACAGAAATGTTTAGTGATACATATATCTCCATGGAAGCCATGACCAGGGTCTGAAGTGGCAGACCAGACAGCAGCTACTGAATTATTTTAAAAAAAAGTTACATGGGCATACAAGTCCTAGTTTTTATGCATATCATTTTAGATTTTACGATCAGAGTTTTTATGGAGGTAAAAAGCATCAAAACATGTCATATACTGCAAGAAATACAGTATTACATAGCATATAATTATATAACACTTTCAGTAATTCAATGTAAACAAAAATACCATAAGCTTAGAAATGCATAATAAAGAAAACACTATATCATGAATAACAGGGAAATTTAAATCTATGTTAGCTTATTACAATTTGACTAGATCACATTAAGTTAATGCGATACTAAAGATACAGTATGGCATTGATTGAAATTACAGTGGTTATAAATGCATCTATGGGTAAAATCAAAATTCACAAAATACAGCGAGTTCAATGTGTGTAAGTACAAATCTATTAAAGATAAATAGTTCTAGTAATCTGCATGTTTTACCCCGATGCATACAAGGGTGTCCATCGAAGGAATGGAGGCTTTTGTGAAGGCCTTTTTAAGAGAAACTGCCTTTTATTCCTATAACACATGAAGAAAAACATGAAAACTCCCATTCAGCCAGCCCATTCATCAGGATATGAACCTGGGTTGACCTACCAGTGTTAGCAAGTTAACACTGGTACTATATATGTACAAACAGCATTATACTAATGCAATTTGTAATATTATAAATACCATTATTATATGTACAGAAACTTTACACTTGAGTTTGAATATATTAAATGCAAGTGATGCTATGTACATAAATGCACTGAGTGTTTAAAAAAAATAATTGTAAACATTGTGTACCATTAGTATAGTATCAGGTAGTCATAGTTCTTTGTGTTTAGGCCTTTCTCATTTTATAATAATCAAAGTACACGGTAACATGTAGACTATAGCTATACTTGAGTGTTGTTAAACTGAATGTAAATAAAAATATGTAGAGTACAGATAGATATAAATAATATTACATAAAATACACACAGTACCAAATATGCTTAAATAGTTTTAAATAATGAAATGTTAACATAAATTATAATATACTCAGGACTCATCATATTTTGATTTTTTATTTTTAGATTCCCTAAGGATCCTATAATGCGAAAGAAGTGGATTACATTGTGTCATCGAGCAGATAAGTTCAATCCCAGTACAAGTTACATTTGCTCTGATCATTTTCTTGTTACGGATTTTGAGCGAGATATGAGAAATGAGTTACTGGGACTTCCAGTGAGAAGAACATTAGTACAAAATGCATTTCCTTCTCTAAAGATTAAGCCAGAGAGATGCCATGGCTAATGAACGCTGACAAAGGATGCAACTAAAGGAACAAAAAGAAGTGTGTATATATGTTTGATAATTATGTATTTCAAAATATCTCAACAGAGATCTTCAAATAAAATTTATGTATTTGTGAAACTATTTATTATTGTAAATGAAACCTTTTTAAATATTTTTCTTGTAATTTTAATGCATAGGTCCAGAAAAGGTGTCTTGAAAATGCAATGCAGTTTGCTGAATCTACTAGCAGTGCTGCTTCCTCAGGTGAAAGAATTGAGCCCCTTCCAACTGAATTAAACCCAGAACCTGATTACAGGCAGTTGTATCATGAGCTCCAGCAACGCTGCATAAAAGTAGAAACAGAATTAGCATTGAAAAATATTGAGTTGGAAAATCTTAGGAAAACTCAAACACTTGAAAAAAGAGAAAAAACCAAAGCTAAAATCTCTGTTATTGAAGAATTAAACTCTTGCAAAATGCAGCTTAAAAAAGCTGACAAAATTATCCAAATCCAGACTCAGAAGTCTTAGAGAGGAAGCAAATAAGACACTGCAAACAATTTTCACTGAGAACCAAATTAAGATTCTTACTGGTAAACAAAAGTATGTTCATTGGACTAATGATGAAATATCAAATGCATTCACCTTAAGATACCTGAGTAGGAAGGCATACATTTTTGTCAGGAATAAACTGCAGTACCCACTGCCAGGTTTGTTCAAGTCCAGTTTCTTAAATTTTATATTGATAATTGTTTTTTAGTTCTAATCATTCTTCCTTAATGTTTTAAAATCAGCAACTAAATGCAAACCTTATCAATTGTGAGTTATTAGCTAATCATATATTAATGGTATTTTAATATTGATATAAAATAAAAAATATTTTCCTCACTGCTGCAAAATGAATTATATATAAAAATGTAATAGCATATGATAGGGTTTTTTTTATAATTTTCCAGGTGTGAGCTCCTTGAGAAGATGGGCAAGAACAATCGAAATGAGGCATGGTTTGCTATCAAGCATTCTTCGTATTATGGAAGTTGCTGGTGAAAATCTGGACAATTTTCAAAGGCTGACAGTTTTGTCATTTGATGAAATTAAAGTTGAAAAAACTTTAGAATATGATGAAATAAATGATAAAATTGTTGGGCCTTTTTCACAAATGCAAATTGTAATGGCACGTGGATTAAATGGTAAATGGAAACAGCCAGTTTTTGTTGATTTTGATCAAAAAATGACCCAACAGATATTAAATAATATCATATCTGCTTTGAATGACATAAATTACAAAGTTGTGGCATGTGTTAGTGATTGTGGAGGTGGGAACCTGGGTCTAGTTAAAGACCTTGGACTTACATACGAAAACCCACAGTTTCAGCTGCCAGGCATAGCTTGGAATATAGTATATTTTC